AAGCTAATCGATAATATTTTAGCAATAAAACTATATTGTTTTCAGTTTTCATAGTATATATAAATATATTGTTGCCGTACGGTCAACTCGTCCATGCGGCCGACTTGCGCTCATGTGACCGATTCGCGAGGTTACTCCCGCGAACGCGTTCACGCACTCCCGAACCGTCAAAATGAAACACACGATTGCAATTAAAGGAACAAGGAATTTTTATTGATTAAAGCAAGAAACACAGAATGCGATATATCAGAACAAATGTAAGACACGTCCGGACATGGCGATGGCTCACATCGGAATCTTCAAATCTTGTTTGACAATCGAAGTTGCTCCGGCAACACGCTCACTTCTCCATAACACGAGTGCATACAACAAGGCACAAACATAACAATATTATATAATTATATATAATTCAAATTTATATGCAAAAGAATGGCCTTAATTTGCAATCTGACACTGAAGGATTATATCACACTTATCTACTTAAATGATATAAAATAGACTTTAAGCTTACACACTATGTTATTATTCTTATGTTTAACATCCCCTTGTTTGTATTTATATCATGATCGATAGAACACAGTGAAAAATTTTCAGTTATGCTATTGACGCTCTTAGAAAGGTATATGTTTTCATTGTTATAACTGTTATATTTAAGAGTTAATATTTAAGATGAATTTTAATTGACATAATGTCATTTGATCCAAAATTCTAAGTCAGCTGCTTTGTTTGTTAGAATGAGTCACATAATTAAAGACACAATTTTTACTCATTGTCATGAGGTTTTGATAAGTAGATTTTACAGATTTACTAACTCTGTCAATTTGCTGTTTGACCTATCCATAACATACAAAGGAGAAACAAATGTTTAATTATTCATTACTGAGGAGAACAACAAACAAGAACTACAAAGTTAGTCAAAACATATATTTCAATTTGGATTTGTCATCAATAAAAGATTTGAAGAAAATATCAAATTTTATTTTTGTACTACCATCAACATTGCATTCTCATTTGTCCAGTGTAATACTTATTATTCATTTCAAAATATATTCTCAAAAAAAAAACATTAAAAAATAGAAACATTATGTGAAGTTAATACTTCAACTTTAGTTCTCAAGAATTCTAATTAGAGTTCCCCACTTCTTTTTGACGAGAGACGAAGAATTCTATAATATAATATATAGTTTATAACAAGAGAGAGAGTTCCATTTAATCATTTTTTAATAACCATTTTTTAATAATTTTACAACTATACAGAACTTCAATCAGAATTACTCAGTACTTTTAAAAAATTTTCGATGTCAGACTTAGAAAATTTTCAATATAGACAAAATTTTGTTTACAAAGTTTCATAAAAACTGTTTTCATGATCTTAAAAGCTTTACTAGACTATTTGATGTTATAATATATATATATATAATATTTATGTGCATCCAAGTAATACAATCTTTGTTTATTATTAAAATAATACGTTGTATTGTACATCTTTTTAGATAAATTAAAAAATATATTATAATCAATTTTATTCGTTATTAATACTTACTTTCTAAAAATGAGGCTTTTTAAAAGATATTTTCACTACACAAATACTTTTTACACTCATTGTATCTATTACATTTTATAAATATGTGACAAGTATATGTATGTATATACATTAATGCTATCAAAGAACAAACCCAATTATAAGGAACAGAAAATCATGTCATACCTCCTTTGCAGGGCGTTCGATGGGTGGAGTGTTGAGCGCGATAGCCGGTAATCATTTCATAGTCGCCGGAGTCACGCCTAAGCGGGAACGTGGTCTCAAGAATGTGATCGCAGGGCTCCATTAACATTAGAATCCCCTTAACCTTCTTTTTACGCTCCTCGATCGGAACACGTGATCGTTTGCCAATGTCCTCAACTAACTTGTCTTCAATGAGTTGGCAAGCGCGATGAAAGAAGTATTCTACCATGTCGAAGAATTTGGGATTCGGCGCCTCGGGCACGTCTTTAAGACGGTCAGGTATCTGATGATCAGCATAACCACGATAAGCCTCCGCTTGCCAGACGGCCGGCGCGACGCGCATCAGAATTCTCTGCATATCATTACTCGATGCTTGCTTCAAAGCAATCGATGACCGCGTGAGATTTCGCAAATGAAACATTTTCGCGATGATAGATTATGCGATGCTATACGATAGCGATAATCTGACCTGACGTCACCTGTAGTCGAAATTGAATCAAGAATAATTTTAAAGAACAATAATTTTAAAGAAACTGTTCACAATTCGTTGTCTACCAACTGCTGCAGCGTGCAGATCATTTGTGTATTTATGCAAACACTACAAACTGCTACAGACCTTCGAAGTCCGAAATGTCACTACTACCGACAATGCCGACGTACCGACTACTAATGATGCACATTTGATGAATACTCTCTCCGGGGGGAGGGTATTTTATAAGGGTATATCCACACAGCTAGCCGCATAAACATATGCATAAAGAAAATTATCCAATCGTATTTCTCCTATAAAGACGTACGTAAAATGTGATTGGATGTGATAATTTGCTTTTTGTATGTTTATGCAACTATGAAAGTTGTGTGGATATACACTTTTGCATAACGCATAATACGTATGTATAAATACATACGTATTAGAAAATGTACTAATCGAAATTCTCTATTTTCTTTTCTATGAAATAAAGAATTCTAATTGGTTCAATTTTTTTATGCCTCATGTTATGCGTTATGCAAGAATCTGTGCTCCCCGCTTTACAATGTGTGCCTTCCAACAAGCGACACAAATGACACGGTATCACGCACGAATCATTATATCCTTGTGGTTTGCTAATGTTAAACAAAGATAACATGATCACTGTGTCGCACTGTGTCGCTTGTTGGAAGGCACACAATGACACCAGTTAGAAGCGATTCCACACAACTTGCATAGCCGCATAACCATATGCATAATGAAAATTATCTAATCACATCTTACATGCGTCTTTATAAGAGAAATGTGATTGAATAATTTTCTATGCGGCTATGCAAGTTGTGTGGATATAGCTCCCTTAAGCAGGGAGCACAGACTCTTAATGCATAACACATGAGACACAAGAAACTGAACCAATCAGAGTTCTTTATTTCATAGAAAGAAAGGAAATGAAGGATTTCGATTGATACAATTTCTTATGCATTACATGTTATGCGTTATGCAAAAGTCTGTGCCGCGGCCCTAAAGAGAATATCAATCGAAGTCCTTCATTTCTTTTCTTTCTATGAAATAAAGAACTCTGATTGGTTCAATTTCTTCTGTCTCATGTGTTATGCGTTATGCAAGAATCTATGCTCCCCGCTTTACAATAACACCAATTAGGGCCATTCCATACAAATTTGCCGCATAATATTATACATAAAGAAAATTATCCAATCACATTTCCTCACTTTTCGCATAAGCCTGAGACATATTATATTAGGTGTACAACTTTGCTCCCGCCATTTTTTTTCCGAAATTCGAAGCTTTATTGTAAAAAATTGGTTATACATTTATGATTCAAAGTATTGTCCATCGCTGGCCACTACTTTCTCCCATCCTTCGGGTAGCGTACGAATCCCGCGTCGAAAAAACTGGTCATCTTTTGAGGCTATCCACGAATCGATCCAATTTTTTACTTCTTCATAAGACCGGAAGTGCTGGTCAGCCAGGCCGTTGATCGAAACAAGTGATAGTCAGAGGGAGCAACGTCTGGAGAATACGGCGGGTGGGGTAGGACTTCCCATTTCAACGTTTCCAAGTATGTCTTGATCACTTTCGCAACATGGGGTCGAGCATTGTCATGCTGCAAAATCACTTTATCGTGTTTCTCGTTGTATTGCGGCCGTTTGTCTTTCAATGCTCAAACGCATCAATTGCGTTCGATACCGATCGCCTGTGATTGTTTCAATCGGTTTTAACAATTCATAATACACTACGCCGAGCTGGTCCCACCAAACACAGAGCACGTCCTTGACCTTGGACGTCAAAATCACCGTTCTTGAAGCGTTGAAACCACTCACGACACGTTCTTTCACTAATAGCGGCCTCACCATAAATACTTGAGAGCATTCGATGAGCCTCAGCCGCAGATTTCTTCATATTGAAGCAAAAAATTAAAACCTCCCGCAAATGACCAGAATTTGGCTCGTAAACTGACATTTTCAATCGAGAATAACTTTATGATGCAGACATCACTAACACAAATCGACTAATGTTTCTATGGGATTATGTTGACAGATGCCCAAATTTATTGTATGACGTCTATGATCTATTTATTTCGACCATCACTTACCGCTAAAGCCATCTATAGGAAAACGACGGAAACAAAGTTATACATCTAATATTAAAAGTATGCAAAATAGAAACTCTTTACTTGTATAATTATTTATAAAATTTGTAATAAAAAATGAAGTATATAATTTTGGTTATTAACATATTTTTATATTTTTTAGCTGATATGGTACAACACTATTTTATTAGCATGAGACAAACTTTTATGACAAATCTTCGGAAAGAACATGAATCAAAGAATAATAATGGAAAAAGTTCTGAAGAAATATATAAATCTAAATGGATTCTATAGATTAAAGTTCCTAATAAAATCATGTGCTCAAGCAGAAAGTTTGTCTAATTTACAACTTCTGAAATTACATATTCTGATAAAACAGAAATTTTAATAAATAATAATGATGCTACTGAAGCAATAGAATCTTCAGAAAATGAAATTGAATATCTAGAGAGTGAATTTGATATAACACAATTTAATTTATGTAATACACAGGCGAGGGTTTATTAAATCTCGATAAAATTTAATAAAACATCTCGTGATTAATTCTTTTTTTATATAAAATATACATATTTTTTGCATAATAAATTATATCATTAATAGGAATATGATTTTTTATAAAGTTTATTTACATGTAAATATTTTTTGAAATTATTTATAACTTACTGCTGTACATAATATATACATTACATACTTACATACATTATATACATACATACTTATATATTTACATACATACGTACATACATACGTACATACAATACTTATACATACATACTTACATATTTACATATGTTACTTATGTTACATATTTATTGTTGTAAATTAAAGAAATAAATTTCTAACTGAGTTATATACCGTCTAAATCTATCGGGATCTTCGAAAAGCAATTCCATAAAAAAATTGTGATGCATGCCTTTCCTATTCTTCTTTAAAAGATATAGATTTGTCCATATACGACGATTGTTTCGATGAGTTTCCTCTTCAGCGATTATAAAAATAAAAGAGCAGCAATTCTCTTCTGTTTATTTGCATGTCTTATAATACGCGACATTTCTTAAATTTAATTGCGTCTCAACTTATTTGTATAAAGACAGTAAACACACATGCACTGAATTCGTTGAAATTTAGATTAAGTAGGGGTACGTTCCAAAACTTTCTCTCCGAGAAAGATTTTACTCTATGTGCTATAGCATACGTTAGGTGTACTATATATTTCAAGTAAAATTTTTCTCGGAGAGAAAGTTTTGGAACGTAGCTTAGATCGATGGGTGCGTTCGAAGAGATACTATTCGCACTATGGACATTACCAATGCTGTTCTTGGAGCCAATAGCGCGATAGCGTTAGCAAACTCCATGAACGATCCTATAAATTATATCATTAATAGGAATATGATTTTTTATAAAGTTTATTTACATGTAAATATTTTTTGAAATTATTTATAACTTACTGCTGTACATATAATATATACATTACATACTTACATACATTATATACATACATACTTATATATTTACATACATACGTACATACATACGTACATACAATACTTATACATACGTAGCGTTGATAGCATTTAACCAGAGAGATATATATTCGTCGAAGTTCAGTTAATTTAGGAGATTCTGTTTTTAATCACTTTAACCAAACTTTTCCCAATAATTAAAATTTTTAAGGTTTTGTAAAGTATTTCTAGCGTAAATTTTTTATTTTTTTGTAGTGAATGATAACAGAACGCAATCTCAATTGCAATCTCTATGATAGCTTGCCGAAGTGAACAATGTAAAAACTAGATCAAAAAATTAATAGTTACACTAAGATAAAAGGAAGAAATTAAATTAAGATAAAAGGAAGAAGTCTTGAGCATCCATTGTCGATTTCAAAAGAAGAAATATCTACATCTAATAAGGATCTTAAGCATCTGCAGCGGCGCGAAATATCCTGCCGCACTATACCGCAATAGTAACTTTTTTTCGTACGGGAATTAAAAATTGCCAATAACAAGATACTTATGACTTTCACATTTATAATGAAATACACAAGTTGCACTTCGCAGAAACTTTGAAAAGTTAAAGATGATATATAAACAAGAATTTCACGTTCACTCCAGCCTAGTGGCAAGCCATCAGCAGAGATTAAAATTGAGATTGCATTATAATAAAATTTGAAATTCATACATTACGTACGTACATTCTACGAAATTCTAAGAGAGAAAAGTTTGGTGACACTCAAGAATAGAATTCCCTTAAACATTAACCTAACTTTGAATATTAAACGCTACCAACGTTACGCTAGGATCATTCACGGATCTATAAACGCTAACGCAATAGTGATGTCACTACCTTGGAAGAAATAGCATTGACAGCGCGTAGTTGTGACGTAACATGCTGCATTAGTGATGTCATGATCGTGTTTATTTGTTTTTAGCGCTATCTGCAGCTCCGTGAACAGCTTGCAGCGCTAAATAGTACGAATCTCCCCGAACACACCCGATAAGTATCATCAAATAATAGCCTTTTCTTCTTCTTAATAGTTAATGGCTTCTACCTCCTTAGAGGAAGCAGAGGCAATACGGCCATGGTATCGATTATGTAAAGTTTCTCTTAGGAATGAATACACAAAAAGTGACAAAAAACAAATTCACGTGAATGTAATGAATAAACAATTAAGTAACTTTTGGTTGTTATAAAATGTGAAATAGTTCACAGTTCAGGGAAATTTTTCGGCAAGTAATGAAAGGTCTAAAATGTGAAATTCTAGTTATTTTTTTAGTAAATTGATATAAACTAATTTGTTTGTTTTTCGATCTTTTGTTTTCTCTTCCTGCATTAGATTGCACTAGAATTTTCTCGCTTTAGACAAATATCAAATATATTTGAATATCTATTTAAAATATATATTTGAAATGGATATTGTGTGCATTTCTCGCCGTAAATAGTGCGAACGAAGAGGAAGAGCATGCAATTGACAAACGAAAACTTCACATATTAAGAAAACGTTTGCGTGATGTTAAATTAAATATATGAGTAAAAGATAAAAATATGAAGTGTATAAAAAATCATATAAAAATTTAAAAATG